GTTGGAGAGAGAAGAGTATGACGGTGAGAGAAAAAATAAAGATAAGAGGAAAGGGAAGAGGAGAAGATGGAGGATTGGAGCAGAGTCGAGGGAGAAGAGACGGAGAGGAGGGGCAGAGGGAGAGGAGGGGCAGAGGGAAAAGAGGAAAGAGAAGAGGAGAGAGAAAGAGAATGTGAAGGGGAAACTGAAAAGAGGCGGAACGCGGAAGAAGGGGATTAGGGTTAGTATATAATTTTTTTTTTATTTTTTTTTTTAAAATTATAATTCCGAAGGATTTTGTCGTCGAAAATTTCAGGACGGAATATTTTTCCGTCGGAATTGACCTTTTTCGACGGAATATTCCGTCGGAACGTCTAATGATTCCGACGGATTTATTTTCCGTCGGAAATTTACGACGGATTTCTGACGGAATGTTTTAATTCGTCGGAAATATCCGACGGAAAATAAATCCGTCGGAAATATCGATTTTTTCGACGGATTTTTAGGTCCGTCGAAAACGATCTGTCACTATTTGACCTAATTCTTGTATTGGATACTGGTCACTAAATGACCGGATTCTTGATTTTGATCCGTTTGATCATTTTAATGGTTTTTGCTCGTTATTAGACGTAATGGCGCGCAAATTATCAAAATCTCGTTAAATTGCTTTTCATATTGTAGTTTTTTTTCTTCTTTGTTAGTTTTTTGCTCATGCACACCGTGCTTTGTGCCTTCCCTAAGCATACGTTTTGAACGTTTTTCGTAAGAGTGCCTTAAGATGTTCCGTGGTGGTGCTTTACGTAAAAGCACCCATAGACACATTAAAAATGTCCGGCTTTTCTTCTTTTTTCACGTCCGAAGCAAAAAGGAAGGCGTTTTCATGCAGCGTAAAAATGCAAATGGCGTATCGTACGGTGCAAAATTGTACGGCGTAGGTGTTGCGTAAAATTTCACTTCAGCCCAAGTTTTGCAAGATCTACCTCTCGGAACTAAAAGTTAGAGAATTACTGTAGGAGTTAGCTCACGAGTCGACTGGCGCGCCGAACCATCAGGAACAAGCACTTCTTGAACGGAACCAAATACGGTAGTTAGTGGCTTACTAACTTACCGGACAGTTAGGGTGTCCAACCACCCCCTGTATAAAGAAGAGACGAGACGATGTCATGACTATGTAGTCACGTGCCCCCAGTCCTGAGACACGTGTACTCATCTTGTGGACAAAACTGCTGAGAGAGTTGTTGACTTTCTTCCCTCTCACTGGATTTGGATATATGCCTCCAGAGACATGTATTTCTATCTTATGGACATCCGGCTCGAATACTGGACCATTTCGGCTCAAATACCGAAAACCCCTTTTCATCTTTTTTACTTTGTTAAAGTCAGGCTAAAGTTTCAATGACATATTGAGGGACTTTAGACCAACGATGACACAATTGGGAGGAAATCTTCCCCTTTTATCCTTTTAAAACCGATCTCTTCTCATGAATTGACATCATCCAAAATACCTTTACTTGTAAAAGCGTTCTATAATTACAAAGGATCAATCTAGATTCTTTAGCGTGTTAAGACTAGAAAAAAAAATTTCTAGCCTTAATAGCTACTTGTTTCAAACACTTAGCGAACCAAGGATTGTTTCGAAAATCCTTAAACATTATTGAAAGATTTTCTATCCTTAGAGAACTTCAGAGAATGAGTCTCGGATTTATTTCCTTGACTACTTTGCGTCTATTCTGGAGTCGATCAAAGTGGGGGCTAATTGTAGACATCTACTATTGGCCTCCTGTCCCGACAGGAAGTGCAATGACGATAAATAAAACCATCTTCGTGTTGGATCGAAGTGAAGAATACTTATGGAGAACTGGTTAAGCCACAAAACACAAAAGACTAGTCCGAATTAAAGGTAAAAGCCAAAACAAAGGTCCAATTAACTAAACCCGACCATAATTAGGCTTAAGCCCGTGATTAAAACATAATAATGACGAATTTAGGAGCGCCTAGGTTAAATTTTAATACTGCCGCAGAAAAATCCGCACGCATCCTAAACAGTCGCGCTGGGCTGCCGCGCGCAACTTATTCAGTTGCGCGCGACACCCAGCGCAACCTCCAGAGTTACGCTGCGGAAGATTCAAAATTATACGAAAAATATAAAATCGAATCTTACCATAAAGCCGCGCGCAAGACAATTAGTTACGCTGCCCGTAGCAGCGCAACATAATCACTTGCGCTGGGTTGCCGCGCGCAACTCATTATGTTGCACGCGAGACCTGCTGCGGAAGAATGCTCGTAACCCTAAACTTAATCATTCCCTATAAATAAGATCTTAAACTGAAGCTTAAACACACTGAAAAATAACCTAAAACTCTGGCAAAATACTTGTGAACTTGTGCAACCTAGCCCCTCTTGTCCTAAACACTCATCCCTTTTGATATTTTGTTACTACGATGTAGGTTCCCAAACAAGAAGGAGTCCATCAGTATTCTAAACGGAGATCTAGGAAAGAGAAGTGGTAAATTCCCGAGCACTTAGTTAAATCACATTTATTTCTTGTTTAAAAGAACACTAATTAATTAATTAGTGTTGTTTGATCACCTTTAAAATAATTAATCAATCAATTCCACATAGTATCTTGCGTTAAATAAAGATACGAATTGAATTAAATAATTGTTGGTTGATCACTTAAGCCAAGGCGAATATTGTTTATTTTCTTGTCCTTTTCATGAATTTGATTAAATAAAGAATAACGACATTACGAGGTAATTTCTACGTGAATTGGTATGTGTAAATAAAATCAACTAACATAGTTTTAGGTATCGCGTTGCATATATTGTTTGGTGATGAAATTGTAAAAAAGGAAGAGCTAGTAGAGGCCGCACTAGGGCTAGGATAACAATTCCCCTCTAAAGGGAATGTTATTTTAGTACTCTCGCTCCCGAACTCATTTCTGGTTTATAGACCAATTTGGGCATGGTTAAACTTCTGATTCGTGCTGATTATTCCATGAACTCCACATGGAAGAAAGGCATAAACGAGGTTTATGAGTTTTCCTAAACCTCATTGGCGACTCCCTACTTGTTTCTTACAAAAAAGCGTAATGATAGAATCAATTCTAATTCAAGGTTCCCCAAACAGTTAGGAATTCAAATCCTACTACACCCCACAAGTGTAAAGTCTTAGGCTTTTAAAGGGCCATGGGCATTTAAGGAGAGGACCCCTTACGATGGGAACCCCCTCCTTACACAAGCAATGAAGTATTTTTCTCAACAATTTTAGAAATGGTTCCCTTGTGATTTTGGTAAACATGCATGTCTTACACTTCTCTATTCTTTGATCAAACATGGGTATCAAATCATGCTTAGACATAAAATATCACTTTTTATAATTAACATGACCAAGTCGCAAATGCCATAGAGAAGAATTATCACTACTAGAATCAGGTCGATTTCTGACTGAATGGCTCCGACGGACACTTAAATCCATCAGAAATACCATATTTTCTGACGGATTTTTATTCTCTCGCAAATTTCCAACGGATTTAATGATTCTGTCAAAAATCCGTCGAAAATTTCCGACGGGATGTACATTCCGACGGATTTTTCGTCCAAACGTATATTTTTCGTCGGAAGTAGAATCCTCGGAAATTTCTGACGGAATTTTCCATCGAAATATTTTTTTAATAAAAAAAACAACTTAAGAAAACCCTAGGAGCCTCTTGATCTTTTTCGCCTCTTTTTTCCCTTTTTCCTCCTCCTTTTCTTTCCCTTTCTTCTCTCTCCTCTTCATTCTCCTTCTTTATGCTCCCTCTCTCCTCTTCGTCCTCTTCGTTCTCCTTCTCTCACCTCTTCTTATTCTCGTTCTCCTTCTCCTCTTAGATATGCTTCTATCTCCTCTTCTTATTCTCGTTCGATCCATCTATCACCGTCAACACTAACAAATTAAGGGTTTTCTAAGGTCAAATTCGACTATGAAAACACTAGATCTAATGTTTTCATGGTCGAATTTGGCCTTGTTAAACCAAATTCAAGGTTATATTCGAAGCCACTTCAAGTTTTCAGGTTTGTATTTGTGTTTTTAATGTTTTTTGTTTTTTTTTTTTAATTTTAATTTTTGGGTTTCATAGTGGTAAATGTGATGTGTTTTGTGTTGAGCGATGTATGTTTTGTTTTTCTTTTTTTTTTAAATGTTTTTTGGGTTTAATTGTCGTTGAAAGAACCGTGGTGGTGGTGGATGGGTGGGGATCTGGTGGCCGGTTAGGGTTTGGGTGGGTGGGGGTCTGGGTGTGGGAGGGTTTTCGGGGCTACTAGGTTCTGGTTTGAGGTTGGGGTTGGGGTTGGGGTTGGGTGGAGATCTGGGTGTGTGAGAGGTTTTTTTGGGGCTACTAGGTTCAGGTTTGGGGTTGGGATTAGGTAGGCAGTGGCGGTTGAACGTGGTGGTGGATGGCTTTTTTTTTGGTAGAAGTTTCCGACGGAATTTCTGTCGTAATTTTCGAATGGATGTAAATTTCGTCGTTATTTTACGACAGACTTTTCGGCCCAGAAATTCTCTTCCGACACATAAATTCTGTTATTTTCGTCGAAAAAGTTCCGTCGAAAAATGTCATTTTTCCTACCATACCTTTTCTGACCACGGGTTCCAACGGAATTCTGTCGGAAACCCGTTTTTCGACAGAAAACAGGTTGTTTCCGAGGAAAAATTTCCGTCGGAAAACGGTCTTTTTTCTAGTAGTGTGTCATTAACAATATACACAATATTATTCAAAGTATTAGAAATACTTAGCTTATACATACCATTATACAAATAACAAAGTCCTACAATTTGACCTCCTTTAGACAAAATAAATTTATCTGACTCAAATACCATCTTAAAACCTAAAGATCGCACCGTATACAAGATTCCTCCTAAGTTCGGGAGCAAACATCACATCTCTTAAAATAAGAGACTTTCCCGAACTAAAGACTAGCTCCACTTGTCCTTTGCCAAGCACCTTAGCTGTAGAATCATTGCCCATATAGAGAATTTCTCCATCATGCATCAACCTCCAAGAAGGTCTTGAACAATGATCTATCCTTGCACACGTGCCTTGATGCACCCGAATCGATATACCACGAACAATTAGCCTGTACACAATTGATTTAAGAAATCATACACATATAATCCATAAATGAATTAAATGAAATTTGTGCACAAGATTTACATTGTTTCTATTGGGATTGGCTAGCATTGCCATTCCCATCTTGAGCCATCTTTTTGCTCAATTTTTTCTTCCAGATTGTGCAATTTTTCTTGAAGTGTCCGGGTTTTCCACAAACCCAACAAGCACGTGACTTTGAACTATCACCGCTAAACTTAGGGTTCTTGCCTTTATTTTTGTTTGAGTCATTACCCCTTTTCCTCACATTTGGCGAGGCATCCTCCACTATATTTACCGTAGTAGAACTAGGATTTGCATCCTTATTTCCCTCTTGCACCCGGATTTCTTCCTCAATCCTGATGTGAGAAGTTAAACCCTCAAGATTTACATCATCCTTTCTATGCTTTAAACCACTTTTAAAGTCTTTCCAAGAAAAAGGAAATTTGTCTACAATAGATGACACTACAAAGGTCTCATCAAGAATTATGTCATGTTGCCTAAGACTTCCTAATATTCTTTGAATCTCATGAAACTGTTCCATAATTGGCCTACTTTCAACAAACTTGAAATTGTTAAATTTACTAACAAGAAATTTCTTGCTAGAAGCATCTTCAACCATGTATTTAGCCTCCAATTCATCCCATAGAGACTTAGCAGAATCATTAAACTGATAAACATCAAAGAGTTCATTAAACATACCATTGAGAATGTGACCACAACAAATGTAATTGTCATTTTGCCACTTGTTGTGTTTCCTTGTTTCATCTAAATATTCATCCTCCTTCTCCGCAGGCTTTGAAGTAGCGAGAACATAAGCCACTCCCATTGAAGTAAAAAAGAAATGCACTTCTACTACCATCTTTGAAAATCAACTCCCACAAATTTGTCCAACTTCTGAAAATTGGTCATTAACTCCTTCACATTTGCCATCTTTGTTGAGATTATACTTTTGGATTGTTGGGGATTTAGTTTTTAAACAAGGGTGATAAAGAAAGCAAACAAAATAAACCGGAAAAATCTTTGAGGCGTGAAAGGAATCACTTTCCCAAAAGTATAATTCCGACCCTATACTACAACCTAGTTTCACATAAATTTACTCAGGAGATACAACGAAGAACAATTGCAATCACAAGTTAGATGATTACAAAACAATGTAATTAAGCATATAGATTTATGATGATGATAATTAAAGTACTTTGCAAACAAGGAAAATGACAAGAAGTTAATGTTAGTCTCTTTTCATTCTCCAACTTCCAGCATATATATAGAAATATAATTATAGAACCAAGAACCAGCCAAATAATTGTCAAAAGTTTCAGCATTAAATCCCCCAAAATGATCGGGCCCGATCAGGCGGTGATAGCCTGATCGAATGAAAAGCAGCGTAAACAAAACATCATGTACGGGTCCGATTGGGCGGTACCAGCCCGATCAAATGGCAGAAGCAAATCAGCCAGCCTATGACGCGCGCCTGCTTAGGTGGTGCCTGCTCGATCGAGAGTCAGATTGTAGCAAACCCATAATCGCTTGCGCTCCGGAACGGGCTGTGTTAGCTCGATCGGGCGGCTTTGCGGCGTCTGATAAGTTCACTCTTGCATTCAATCGTCTTTCTTGTTCCGATAGAACATGTTATGCTGCTGCTACTTGGGTTATGCTCTTGTTCTAATCCTTGTTGAATTAATTACAACACCATATCCTAAGTAACTAATTAAACAATATCCTTTAATTAATGAGTGCATTTGCATTTTTTGTCATATGCTTATCTACTGATTAATTACAACACCATATCCTAAGTAACTATTAAAACGGTTATGGGTTTGCTTAGTTTCCTTTGAGTCATCATCAAAACTTAGGGTCAACAAAAGCTTAACCTACAATAGATTCTAGGTTCAGTCTGTCTTAATTCAATGGGCTACGAAGTCAAATAATAAGTCAATAAACCCAAAGAAAGAAGGAAGCTATAATCGTCCGTTCTTTTCCGATTGTATGAACATGGAGGTAACCTCTCCTTCAATTTGTCTAATTGTAGACCTGGCTTTATCCTTTAATTAATGAGTGCATTTGCATTTTTTGTCATATGTTTATCTACTGATTTCTTTGAGTAATCCAAATTGTTTAATTTCTTTATAAAAGCTTCCTTAATATTTGTTTTTGTTACGTCAGTGTAGGGAACATTTCATGCATCCCACACTTAAGCCCCAATGTGATCATACACTTAAACATGGTGGCGTCCAAAGTGAAGGAAGCTAGAACAAAAGAGTCACCAACAAGTTTTAGGACTTGTAAACTGTTCACATGGTGAAGGTTACACCCCTTCATTATCCATGAGATCGCTAACACCATAGTGGCTTGGAACCATGACTGGATATTCGGGGATAAAGGTACAAATCCAACCTAAAAGAGATTGAACCTGCCCTAAAAATAGGCCTCTACTTTATTCTTTTCATATTCATGTGCGCTTTCTAACTAACATGCAAACAATAGGTTAACCCTAAACCTGTTTATCTTTGTTGGTTGAATATTAATGCACAAACAAATCTATTATTGGCGATCACTTGAATTAAAATCATATTAACCTAAAAAAGATTATTAATTATCTTATTAAGCGTGATTACATGTACAAATTCCCTTTAAATATGCATAAAAGGTGTGATCAAGCAATAACAATAATAATATATCAAGCAACATAATAACAACAATCATCATCATCAACATCATCATCATCATCATCATCGACAAAATAATATTATTAATAAAGCATAATAATAATAGCAAGATCCTAGACAAGATACTAACAAGATTAATTACAAACCCTAGCATGTCACTAAACATTAAAGATGAAAGATTTATCCCTAACATGATACTAACATGATATTAAAAATAGGAGGCATCCTAAACATGGTACTAGAAACATACATGATACTAGGAATTAAAATAATTAAAGCATGATTGCTATATCAAAAGAATAATTAAACAACTTACTTATATGCCTTGTATCTCTTTCTAATAACAAAATACAAGTGTTAGTAACTTCAAGGAAAATATTAAATAAAACAATTAAATTAAATAATTGAAATAGGGATTTGTGACCAAACCCTCAGAAATTATCAACCTTTCACGTCTAGGGAGAAGGCAACTTCGAACTTGGTTAGGTGTGTCTAGAACTTGTGAATGCGGAATTTTGTAAAAGGGAAGGTTTATAAAGAGGGAGAAAGAATAAGCTTCTAGCTTAAAGTGAGACAAGAATAGATGATTGGTGATTGTTGGTCATTAAAAATGGGGAAATACGACCCATATTTATAAGAAAATAGTCCGGAATTGATAGAAACATATCCCCATTTGGATCGGAATAAAACTGTTCCCTGTCGCGAGCGACTGTCTCGAGCGACATAGTCTGTCGCCATGCGACATGAATCACACATGGCGACAAGCTCTGTTGTTTGGCGACAATTAAAAGATAACACGCCTTTTGTACAAAATCATTTTCTTAATATAATTAAGCAATTAAAACTCCGTTTTAATCAATTTTAAATCAGATTTTATCATATAAAAACACTTGTTTTATTTCAAACCAAATTCATTATTTTTTCTAAAATATTAATTATCAATCCTAATGCTATTAGAAATTAAAATAACCTTCTAGACTATTATAGAAGACTATAATCAATCCTAAATATTTTTAGGAATAATAATTAATGGGCCCTCCATTGATCATTGGCTATAAAACCATTTCTATAGGGAATATTTTCAGGCGTTAACCCCTAGCTTGAATCCCACTGTGATCATACACAAATATACGGTGGCGTCCAAAAGGGAAGAAGATAGAGCAAAAGAGTCGCCAACAAGTTTTAGGAACTTGTAAACCGTTCACAGGGTGAAGGTTACACCCCTTAACGATCCAGGAGATCGTTAACTCCAATAGGTATGAAACCATGACTGGTAGTTTGGGGATGAAGGTACAAATCCAACCTAAAAGAGGTTGAACTTGCCCTAATAATAGGCCTCTACTTTATTCTTATCGTATTCATGTGCGCTTTTCAATTAACATGCAATCAATAGGATTAACCCTAAACCTGTTTATCTATGTTGGTTGAATATTAATGCACAAATAAACTATTATTGGCGATCACTTGAATTATAATCATATTAACCCTAAACAAGATTATTAATTATCTTATTAAACGTGATTACAAGTACAAATTCCCTTTAAACATGCAATAAAGGCGTGATCAAGCAATAAAAAGTCATCAAGCAACATGATAATAATAATCATAAAAATAAATTATAATTGAAATAATCATGAGCTGCCATCTTTTCGATGATTGTCTTTAAGTTTTTATTAGCTGCCTCAACTGCACCATTTGCATGAGGTCTATATGGAGATGAGTGATGGTGTTGAATGCCATACTTTTGTAACAATTCTTCACATTCAGCTTGAAAATGAGTTCCGTTGTCACTTATCATTTCATGTTGGACTCCATATCGACAAATAATGTTTCTTTCGATAAAGAGTGCTAAATGTTTTGCAGTGAGCTTGGCATATGATTATCCATGCTATGAATTTCTTGAACCCTTTATCAAGAATGGGATAAGACAACCTGGGTTTGAAATATTTTTGGATTGTAATTTTCAAGATGATGTCTCAACTCCCATCCATAAGGAGAAAGCACTCCCATGCTTTGACTTTAATGACATGGGACTTCTCTTTGGGTATGAAAAGATAAGCCAGCGCATATCGAAGACAATTCTTTGCTCATTCAAATAGTATTACAGAGTGAAAAGTAGTAGCATGTTCTATGACTCCTGCTGTTACATTCATGGTGATAGTCCCAAGAGCTTGGCGGCGAGTGTTGTCATAGGCTCTTATTCTCTCTGTAGACGGAGACAAGTCTTCATCATTTAACCCTAACATACTAGAAGTTCGGAGTGGACAGACGTTAATTGTTGATCCATTGTTTACAAGAGTCATTGGGACATTCATTCTCTTATAGATTACTGTGAGATTTAATGCTTTGATATGTTTATCACCCTCTAGAGGTAAGTTTTTGTCATAAAAGGTGATCAAATTGATGGGACTAGGAAGATCACTCGTGAGAAAGTTAGCCAACCCTTCAAAAGTGGTTTCATAATCTATTCCTATTTTTTCCAAAGCATTCATTACTGCCAACCTATGTTGATGTTATTTAGCTAAGAGTTTTCATACATTCATATCAACTTTAGTCTTATTTAATTGCTTGACAACATCGTTGTCTTCTATGATAGGTATGGGAACTTGCTGAGTAGTAGGGATTGGTTGTTGCACAGTAATGGGAGGTTGCATTCTCCCAGATCTTGTAAGGACATCTATGGGTGAATCTTCTTCATCCCAAATGTTGTCCACTGGATATATTGTGGAAAGTGGGGTCTCTTCCATATCCTTGAGGTAGACGTCCTCATCATCACTGTCACAAACTTCATTAATGGTAGCATCTTTCTCTTGTAGAATTTAGATTATCTTTTTATCATCAATTAGTTTCTAAATCAAATCTTTAAATCTAAATCATTGTTCTATTATATGTCCCCTTGACTGATGATATGGACAGTAGAACCTATCCATCCTCTTTAGTGATTCAAATGGTCTCGGTTCAAGAGGTTTAATCTTGCCACTCACGGAGAGAATTTTGAACATATTCGCATAGCTGGTCCCAATTGGAGTGTAGGACTTATGGCTCCTTTTGGGTGTTTCGACTACTTGAAGAGAGAATGGTTTCTTCATAGTAGTCTTTAATATCATGTTTAGGGATAACTAAAATTTCTAATATCAAGTATGATTATTGTGATGCTTCCTATTTTTTTTCCTAATATCATGTTAGTATCATG